AAATAATGTCATGTAAATGAATTTCAAAATTTAGATGAAATAAATTTCTTAAAAATAACAATTTGCTCAAAGAAAAAAAACAAGAAATAGAAAAAATGAATAATCCTATTGCTATTTTTAAAATTGAATCCATCATTAAAAACTTTTCCTCAGGGAAAACTCCAAACCCAGAGGACTTCAGTGTGGAATTCTTCCAAATAATTAAGAAGTAAATAATGCCAATTTTTTACAAACTCTTCAGAAGAAATGAAAAAGAAGCTCCTCACCTCTTTTTTATGAAGCCTGTATAATTGTGGCACCAAAACCTGACAAGAGCATTGTCAGAAAGGGAAATCATAAGCCGATCAAATCTCATGAACATAGGTACCAAAATTCTTAACAAAATAGTAGTCAATCAAACCTAGAAATATATTTTTTAAAAAGGATGATACTTCTGAACAAGTGCACTTTATTCCAGAAATGCAAGATTGATTTAACATTCAAAATTCAATCAATGTAATTCACAACATTAACAGAATAAAGGAGAAAAACATGATCATTTCGCTAAATGTAGAAAAAAACATTTGATAAAGTTATACACTCCTTCAAGAAAAATCTCTCAGCAAACCAGGGATTTGGTCATGTGTATCTACAAAAAAATCCACATCAAATATCATACTCAATGGTGAAACATTAAATGCTTTCCACCTGTAGGTCAAGAACAAGACAAGGATATCCTGCTATCACCACTTCAATCCAACGTTGGACTAAAGGTCCCAGCCAGTGCACTGAAGCACAGAAAAGAAATAAAAATATAAAGACTATGAAAGAAGATGGACAACTATCATCATTTTCAGGTGACATGATTATGTTTATAGAAAATTATTAAAAAGGCAAATTCATAATTAATACGTAAATTTAGCAAAGAGGCTGGACATGAAACCATTATCTAAAAAATCAATTGCATTTCTTATACTAGCAACTAGCAATTAAAAAAATTTAAATAAGACTACTTACAAAAGCACTGAAAAACATCAATTACCTAGAAATAAATCTAATGAAAATAAATCTAATAAAATCTCTACACTGAAACCTACAAACGTGGCTGAGAGAAATTAAAGGCCATTTAATACAGGGTGGTCTAATGTCACATACATAGATTGGAAATCTGATGTTGGTAGGATGTCAGTTCCTCCCAGATTTATTGTACAGTCAATGTGATCCCAAGTCAAAATCTTAGCAAGTGTTTTGTGCATGTGGAAACTGACAAGCTGATTCTAATATCTGTATGAAAATGTTAAGAACTTAAATTAACCAAAACGATCTTGAAGAAGAAGAGGTTTTATGCCACCAGTGAGCATAACCCAAAAAAAGACAAGCAGACCAATGGTTTTGAATAAAGGTCAAGGCATAGATCCACGTTTATGATCTCCTGATTTAGGACCAGTGGGTAAAAAAATATTATTTTCAACAGAAAGTGCTCTATTGGTCAAAAATTAAAAATAAAAACACAATTCTGACTCCTCCTTCACACCATATACAAAAATTCCAGATGGACTGCTGATATACAGGTAAAAGATAAAATAATAAAACTTCTAGATAATAACATGAAAAATATCTTTATGACGTTGAGGTAGATAAAGATTTCTGAATAGCACACAAAAAGCACTAACTATAAAAGAAAAACATTGATAAACTGGACTTTGTTAAAATTAAGAACCTCTGTTTGTCAAAAGATCCCACTAAGAGAATGAAAAGGCGGACCACAGAGAAAAGATATTTGCAATACTTTTATCTGATAAACATCTCCTATTCAGAATATAAAAACAACTCTTACAGATCATTAAGGAAAAGGATGCTCGCTATTACCACTTCTATTCAGCATAGTACTGGGAGACCTAGTCAGAGCAATTGGATAACGAGATTATTTATACACACACAAAAGACCTGTTGGAACTAATAAACAAATTCAGCAAAGTTGCAGGGTACAAATCAACACACAAAAATCAGCTGTATTTCTCTATACTAACAATGGACAATCCAAAAAAGAAATTAAGAAAACAATTCTACTTACAGTAACATAAAAAGAAAAGACAATACTTAGGAATAACCTTAACCAAGGAAGCAAAAGACTTGTATGTTGAAAACTATAAAATGCTGAAAGAAATTAAAGAAGACACTATTAAATAAAAAGACATCCTATGTTCATGGATTTGAAAAATTAATATTTTTAAGATGTCAGTACTACCCAAAGTGATCTACATATTCAATGCAATCCCCATCAAAATTCTAACAACATTTTTTTTTGCAGAAGTAGAAAAATCCATCCTAAAACTCATAATGAATCTCAAGGACCCTGACTGAATAGCCAAAACGATCTTGAAAAAAAAAAAAATGTTGAAGATCTTATATTTCCTGATTTCAAAACTTAATACAAAGCTGTACAGTAATCAAAGTAGTTTGGTACTGGCATAAAGATAGATATATAGACCAACAGAATAGAATAGAGAGCCCAGAAATAAACTCTCGCATATATGGTCAAATGATTTTTGACAAGAGTATCAAGACCTTTCAATAGGAAAAGGATAGTCTTTTCAATAAATGGAGTTGGGAAAAATGGGTATCCACATGCAAAAGAATGAATTTGGACCCTTGCTTTACCCTATATGTAAATTAACTCAAAAAAAATAACAAAGATTTAAACGCAAAAGATAAAACTATAAAACTCTTGAAAGAAAACAGAGGAAAATGTTCATAATTTTGAATTTGGCAATGATTTCTTGGACATGACACCAGAAGCACAGGCAACAAAAGAAGTATAGATAAAATGGACTACATCAAAATTAAAAACTGCTGTGTATCAAAGGCACAATAACAGTGAAAGGCAACCCAAGGAATGTAAGAAAATATTTGCAAAACATATGTCTGATAAGAGGTTAATATGCGGAATATATAAAGAACTACAATTCAATGACAACAAAAAATAAACACTTTGGTTAAAAAAATGAGCAAAAACTTGAATAGATCCTTCTCCAAAAAAGATATGCAAATGATCAGTAAGCACATGGGAAGAAGCTCAATATCACTAATCATTAGGGAACTACAAATCAAAACCATGAACTATCACTTTACACTCATTAGATGGCTATTATCAAGAAAACAGAAAATAACAAGTATAGGCAAGGATGTGGAGAAATTGCATTTCTGGTGGAAATGTAAAGTGGTGCAGCCGGTATGCAAAACAGCATGGCAGTTCCTCAAAATAGTAAACATAGAATTACTATATGATCTGGCAATTCTACCTCTGGGTATATACCCAAAATATTCAAAAGCAAGAACTTGAAAAGATATTCGTACACCCAGATTCATAGCAACAGTCTTCAGGATAGCCAAAAGGTAGAAAGAACCCAAATGTCTATAAATGGATGAATGGATAAACAAAATGTGGTACATGCACATAATGGAATGTCAGTCAGCCTTAAAAAGAAAGGAAATTCTGACGCATGCTACAACATGGATAAACCTTGAAGATAGGCTAAGTAGAATGAGCCAGTCGCATAAGGACAAATACTGTGTGATTCACTTGTATAAGATACTTAGAGTAGTCAGATTCATAGTAGTAGTTGCCAGGGACTGAAGGGAAAGGGAATGGGGAGTCATTGTTTAGTGGGTACTGAGTTTCAGTTTCGAAAGATGAAAAAAGTGCTAGACATGGATGGCGGTGTTGGTTGCACAACAAAGTGAGTGCACTTAATACTACTGAACTGTATATTTAAAATGGCGAACGGCGTAAATGTTACGTTATGTATATTTTACCACAATAAAACTGAAAAAAATGCTCAGAGATGCTTAAGAAGCAGTCAAAAACTTGGAACAGTTTAAAAATCCAACAGCGTTTAAATGGACATGTAAACTGTGGTATATGCATACAGAGAAATACTACATACCAATGAAAAAGAAAGAAATGCTACATACAAGAGCATGGATGAATCTCACAGACATCATGGTGAGTGAAAAAAGCTACATACAAAAGAATAGAGAGTCTATGAGTCCATTTATACGTTTCACAAACAAGCAGAACCAAACTACAGTGTTAAAAGTCAGGACAGTTGCTACTAACAGGGAAGAGGCATAAGGGAGCCTCTCGAGGTGCTAGAAATTTCTGGGTGGTGATTACACAGGTGGATACAAAATATGTATCTAAAAAGATATTCATCAAACCATTCACTTACGCTTTATGTACTTTCTGTTCAGTTTATATTAGTTTTATGAAATAAAGCAAAAGGGATGACAGAATGACAGGAGGGATGCTGGAAGGAAGCGTTCAGCGTGTCAAACAGCCTTGGGGATTACAGAGGGAGTGTCCTTAGCTCACACTTTGAGAAAACTGAACTAAGGAGATGCATTTTACCAAGCAAAGGAGAAAGACACTCTGTCCCTGCTGGAAATGACATTTATAACAAGCCTCCCTCCTTTTACAGTTCTTAGGGGCAAATATAAGTCCCAAGTTAGTCTTCTGCTCTTTAACATAAGGCACCTAGAAGCCCCAGTCTGACATCACCCAAGGAGGGTGTCAACACAGCAGTTTACATCCTTCCGTGAACTCTAATTTTCCAGTCCAAGATCCAGGAGAAATTTTTACTTTCCAATAGCCAGGACCTTAGTGACTCGAAAACAACAATCCCATGACACACTACTTTAAAATCACATAATGGCCTTTCCCATTCAGGGTCCACGTTTGCCCAGCTGGAGCATCACTGTAACAGTGTCTCTGGGGACTCAGACAATATGATCGTGTACACAGCAAGCTTTTGCAGTGGCCTCGGTTTCCACATCCACCTGACTGCGTTGTACTCCCCATTGCAGACTAGTACGGGATGGCTTGGGGTACTTCATAAATGCCTCAAGAGTCTCTGGTCCAGGTGACTTGCCCCGGACTAGCATTCTAGAAGTGCTAGATCTCCCATCAGGACACTGGCTGTGTCTAGGATGTCAAGGAAGAATGAGTTTCAAGCACTTACTTTCATCATTAGAAACATTCCCCAGAGATGTGTGGCTGGAATAACGTTTGTTTTCACTTTCGTTGAGACATCTTTCAATCCAGCTCTCTAAAAAAAAGAAAGGAAATCACAAAATTGCAGAATTGCTATGTTTGTGAAGAGACGGAACACCATAAACACATTAGATTTAAATGTCCATCGACTTTCATCTCAGTGTGGCCCCGACTGGAAATGAATTTTACAAGGTCCACGTGCACCCTTTGCTGGGTAGTTTGGAGGTGAAATGGTAATTCAAAGCGCTGCTTGAGTATTTCTTGGTCAAATTCTACTAATTCTGGAGTATTCATTGTCTAATAGTATCGACTGAGGATTATCTCTCTTCAAAAAGAAGATACGCCCCTAAGAAGTAGTTTGTAAGACGTAATTTGGTCAAGTGGATCACTGGACATGGTTTGCAGACTTTGAAATCAGCAGCAGAACCCTTCATTCAAACAAATACGAAGAGAAAAGCAGATAAAGCCCTGTGTTCTCTGTCTGCAGTGGAGGAGAGGGGCAGGGGACCTCGCAGCTCACCTCCCTTTGCCCAGTGACCCTGAAGGGGCTCTTCCAAGCACAGACCAAAAGCTGCTGCAGGAGATACCCACAACTCCAGAATAGCTATGTAGTACTTTTAAAATACAAAAGACTCTGGTTTTAAAAATCTAACTCTGAAGGCTGTAAATTTACTTTCCACAACATAGCATAATGCTTATTCCATCCCCCAGACCAGGGGTCCACAACCCCTAGGACACGGACCAATACTGTTCCCAGTTAGGAGCTGGGCTGCACTGCAGGAGGTGAGCGGCCGACAAGCGAGCAAAGCTTCATCTGTATCTGCAGACGCTCCCCAGCGCTAGCATCCCTGCCTCAGCCCCACTTCAGATCATCAGGCATTAGATTCTCATAGGAGCGCGGGTCCCTGATGCCAAAAAGGTTGGGGACTGCTGCCCAGACCATCCACCATTCATTTATTCATCCATTCATTCAACATCGTCAGCTAAGTACAGTCATTTCTGCCCTAATGCTTGTTCTGAAGATAAGAATGTGTTCCAATGCAAGTATTATGTTAGGGAACATTTGAGCACAGAGAAAACTTTGTGTTTGCTTATGCTTGGTTTCTTCTGTAAGAAACTTGAGGTGAAAGCAGAAAACCACTCGTAGCTGAACTGAGCCTCAAAGGAATATGCAAACTTCACACACGCTCACACCTCAAACGTCTACCATGTGTGTTAAGAGCCACACCTGCCCAGATAACTCATGTCCCTCCACTTCACAGTAACTCTCAAGCGGCAGCCCTTCTGACATTCACTTCCAAAAGCGAACTTCAGTCTCTTCCAACGTGAAGGGTCATATTTACTGTATTTGTGTATCTCGTAGCCATTTAACGTGCAAAACTGTGCTATCGTTCTTATTGGGCTCTTTATATTTTAATGTGTCACTGACAAAGGTTTTGAGTGTTGTGCCCCTTATTCTTCCAGTAAACTCCGTGGTTTTTATTGTGCAGTTTTGCAGAACGGTGAGTTTTAGGAATGCCAACGTGGAGTTACAGCAGAACTGACGACGGCTATGGTTGCGTGCTTTTGCACGCTGCTGTCATTATAACATGGCAACTAGCGTTTATTGGACACCTATTTAACACGCCAGGCCCTTTACACATGTTATCTCTCGGAACTGAATCTCTCGGAATTGAAGATTTTAATCTCCATTTTTCCTAAAAAGCAAATGAAGCTTAGAGAGATGAAGTAACGTGACTCCTCATAATTCAAAGAGCCAAGGGAAAGATCATTAGTTAACGCCTTGGTAACATATTGTAAAAAGAATCCATGTTGGCGAATAAACTATGCAGAGAGGGGAGAAAGCAAACTCTGACGGCAGGGAGAAATGTTGCGTTTTGTTTTATATTTTATGTTCCAACAAACTGCTCTTTTAAAAGCTGCTTCCAACATTGTAAATAAGTCGGGAGACGTGGGGTGGGGAAGTAGGGGGATGGATATCCAAGGGAACAGGAGCCAGCTTGTTAAGAGTATATGGAAATCTGGTATTTCTGAGGAAACACTGAGCAGCAGAGAAATTCAAAACACTGAGACGCCACCCCTTCCAGATATCAAATGCACAACCTAGAAACAAATGACTTAGAATATTTTCAGAGCTGTGATGGCACAAGGTGGGCGTTTGTCATCACGTCATATCCCAAAACACATCTGAATACAAATCTCCAGAATTCTTTGAAGGGCTTTCTAGGATGCCAGAATGTCTCCACTTAGATCTTCTAATCCCTTCAATCCTGGCGCATTTTCCCTTGGCAACAGCCATGAGTGATTTTGGATGGTATCTACTGAAATTCACTGCCTCTTTCTCCACCAAACCATACCACTCGAAGCAATTTCTGTCATTCCAGGCTCGCCCCTGGCCTTCCTAGCTAAGTATTCACACCTATGTACTCTCACATGTGTGTGGATACACACAGCCACACACGTATCACCGCCAGCCCCTTCAGCGGAAATAGGGAACTAAGAGAAACTCTCGCTCACTCATTTGCCTGTGTCAGGATCAGGCCTCTTAAAACTGGAGTCCTCAAAAGGGTCTATTCCTGCAGGTGAGAATCCCCAGTGATTGATGGGACTCTCTCTGAAGAACTCTTGGCAACATTCCGGAGAGGACTGGCCTAAACACCAAGAGAACTGCCCAAAAGAGGTCAAGTCAAATAACTCTCTGATGGCCGAGCCTCTTCCCACACTGCCCAGGGCTATAGAGAGATGAAAGCAAGGTTATAAGGAGGGAGAGAGGGTTGGAAGTGCAATTAAAAAAAGAGAAGAAATCGCACCAAAGAACCCTTACCCCTTCCCATTGCACCCGCTCGGTCTCTCTGACCCATAGTCTATGCCTGTCGCCACTCTGCTCCCCGCTCTACTTACTAGGGCAACACGGAATCAGTGTGGTCTCTCCTGCACATGACAAATAGAGGAAGACAGGCATCGTGTCTCCATTTTTCTGGTCAAAGTATCCCCTTCGTTTCAGTTCTTTCTTGGAAGAAATTTTTCCCAATTCTCTGCCATCCAATTCACTTGTTTCTGGCTGTCTTCTAGTTAATCAATGTCCCTTTGAGCATGGAACACCCAGGATGAACTCTCAGAAGTTCCAGATGGTGGTGTGAACAGTGCCAAGAATGGCAGAACCATCACCTCTGCTGTTCTGGACACATGGAGTTCTCAGAGCATTCAAGACCTTGCATTCCACAGTGCATGGATGGGGTATCTGCACCTCATGTCCCATAACTCAGGTTGCTCCACACGATTGGAAGCCCCCTATTAGGTCCTCTGAAGTAAGTTTCATATACTTTAAAACTATAAACAATGGAATTTTGGTCTTGCAAAGATCAATAATTATGCAACCAGAATGACATGCATATTGAAGTTTTTATAACACACTGTATTCATCTCTCTTATTTATTTGTAGAATATGTGATTTAATAATAACAAAGGCCACCATATATTGAGCCATTGTTGGCCAGGCATTATGCAAATGCATTATATACACCATCATACTAAACAACCCTATGAGGTAGGCGCTATTAATATGCACATTTTAGAGATAAGAAAACTAAACCTCATAAAGTTTAGGTGACTTGACTAAGTCACCCAGCTGGTAAGAGCAGGACCGGCATTCAAACTCAGGTCATAATCAGTGCTCCCTCCAAGCATGAACTGTGTCCCCAGAACACAGTACCAATATTATAGCATTGATCACAGTCTCCCTTGCATTAGAACTTTTGAAAACCCTCTACTCGCGTATTACAACTTTTGCTAAATATTTCTTTGTCATACACAACAGGCTCTTCGGTTTAGGTCTTAAACATCTTAAGAATGGAGTCCATTTTATTCTATTTCTTTTGCCTCTCCACTTGTGCCTAGTATAAAGTTCTTCCTATAATCTGGCCTCGATAAATGTTATATTATTGCCACACATGACATCAAAGTATACCCAGCATATAGATAGATATGTCCACACATGTATAGAATTTCCTAAAAAGTATGACACATCAAAGGCTATTTTCTAAATAAAGAAAGCAAAGTTCAACAATTACTTTGTGCCTTCTAGACACAAGAAGCTGTGAGTGACATAGACAAGAATAAGATGGACTTCTGCCCACTAGCTGTCATCCAGAAAGTGAGGCAGGGGCTAATCCTCAAGCTCATGGGCGCAAGGACCTGTTCTTTTTGTTTGCCACCTTGTACCTGGCGGCTGGCACTGTGTCTGGCCCTATAAATGCTGCAGAACAAACATGAGTTGTGGAATGCCTCGCTTTTTTCAAAAAACAACATTAAGTTCCTACTGTGTGCCAGGTACTACACAAGGATATTCACGTATGTCATTTAAATTTAGCCCCAGAACAATATTATGTGGGATGTTTTAATAGTTCTGTTTACAGAAATGAAAACTAAGGCTTGAAGCAACAGTCCTAACCCAAGGCAGACTGTGATCGATGCTGTGATATTGGTTCTGAGACACAGGAGGACAGCTCAGGGCACACTGGGGCAACTTACTGCTCCCAACTGCCTCATTCCTGATCCATAAAGATCATCTGACCTTTCAGTAACGACCAAGCTTGCTCAAAGTGCCCCAAAAGATTTAACAACGGCTGTGAGTGTAGGCTCCTAGGCTGCGAAGCATCCCTTCACCTGACTCCTCCGGGATCAGGGGCAGGTAGCAGGATGCTGATAACAATGCCTTGTGAATTTGCACTTTACAAGGAGTTTTACCCACACTCTTTAGTGGCAGCTCTTCATGTCCCCCGACTTTAGATTGAAGATCTGAAGCCCCGAATTTGAAGTGACTGTTTTAAGCTCATATAATGAGGTTAAGCAGAGCCATAAGTGGTCACCAGGTTTTCTAGGAGGCTTGGTTCCCTTTGCAGCAGCAAAGAATAACCAGGAAGTAGCTGCGGCATCAGGGACGAGGCACGTCCAAGGCTGTCCAAGGCTCGGAGCAGCGTTTCATAAACACGTATTGGTCTGGCAGGAGCAGCTGACTACGATGGTTACCCACAGCCAGGTAATCCTTGAAGTTTACAGAGCACAGTGAGATGAGGAACCTGATCTGAGCTCCACGGTCCACCTCATGAGATTGAAATTCATCCCACTTTACAGATAAGGAAACTGGGGTTTAGAACATGGCAGTGGCTTGTTGGCAGTGGCCTGGGCAAAGTCACACAGCTAGAAGGACTGAAGTCAGAATTTAAACCCAGATCTTCAGTCTCCAAGGCCTATGTTGCTTCTTTCTGCCTCCTCATATTGCGAACAGACCAGTTGTTTTCTCTTAGATTATCTATCTATCCACTCATTCATTTTGCAAATAATTATCAAGTGCCTTCAATATAAAGTTCCAACAAAAGAGATGGACAAATACTTTTTAACAAAAAGCCAATGTTATCCCTGGTGGACTAGGGTCCCAGGACTTGAAAATATATTGTTTTGTTTTGTTTTGTTTTAATGTATTATTCTTATTATTTCCCCCACCTTAAAAATGTAAGTTTTAACAATGCCGTATGTCTTGCTCAATGCTTAGTACCCAAGAGCTAGGAACTGTGTGAGGCACAGAGCTGGTGGTGGAGGCTGTGATGAAGTAGGGGGGTGGGGGGTCCTCCCCCAGGAAGCCTCTGAGAAGATAGTGTTGGAGCAGAGACTGGGAGCACTGAGGGAACAAGGCCTTCAAAGCTTCAGAGTGGGGACCACAAAGGCAGAAGCCCTGAGGAGGGATCCCGCGTGACCTGTTTAAAAAATGGCAGGAAGCTCCAGTGGCTGATGTGGGATGACCAAGGGGGAGACAGTACGAGAGGAAGGAAAAGACAGATCGAGCCAGAGGGGTGCGGCCGTGGAGTTAGAACTGGACTTCAGATCCAAGCCCTGCCCCTTACTGGCTGTGTGACCCTGGGATGGCTCCTGAACCTTCCTAAAACCCTACTGTCCAGGTTCCCCAAAGAGTAACTGAAATAACACAGGTGAAGTACTTAGAAGGCCTGGTTTTGTGGGCCATGGAAAGATGGTGAAAGCGTGGTCTCTATCCACCAGGAGCTGGCAGCCCAGTGTCAGAAACAGACAGCAGTGGTGAGGTCTGGCATTATTGAGTGTCCCTCCACCCCGCCCCCATCACAACCAGTCACCCTGATTCACAGGCCTCCTCCTCCCAGCAACAGAGACGTAAGCAACTCCGATCTGTGAGCAGGAAACTGAGAGTCAGAGAGGTTAGGCAAAGTCCCCCAGCTGCTTAGTGGCTGAGCTGGGTCGGGTCTGTCTGCCTCCGAAGCCGGCCTCGCCGCAGCACACTGCCTCAAGAAGCCAGCAGGTAACCAGGGTATATTCGTTATTAAGATAAGGTGCCTGAAAGGGAGCTTCCAAGTTGGCCTGGCTGCTTCCTACAGCCGGTGGCATTTCCGCTGGCCCTTAAAGGATTCGGCATCTGCCAGACCAAGGAGCAAGGAAGGGCATTTTGGACAAGGAGGTCACCATCATGGACAAAGGCACAAAGTAGGTTTTGGGAAAGGCGAAGAGTTCACTGACCCATGACCCACGGAGTGGCGGGAGACAGGTGGGAGAATCCGTTAGAAGTGGATCGCTAGGGCCTATCCCGCCAGGCCAAGAGCCTGCAGGCAGCCGGGAAGCGGTGGTGATTTTTAAGCAGTGGGGGAGGAACCGACGAGCTTTGTTTCTGAGGAACTGGATGAGAACAGGGAGTTCTTGACTTATGCAATACCTGAAGAAAACACTGCCTGACTTATAAAAGTGTCACCGAGTTTTAATAGGAGTTATTCATACTCGTTCTACCAACAGTCTTTCAGGCCTCTGTGCTGGGGCCTATTTTAGGAACTCACAGCTTTATAAATGCTACATAAAAGAGTTGACATGCCACCCTCACAGCTACCAAGCAAGGACCAGGCCCCAGTCCCTCTGGGGGTGCCAGAGTGCACCCAATCTCCCCTCCCCTCCCTGGGGCCCTGGTCATTACCAGTGGAACCACACCAACGTAGCCTGCTTCTGTCTCCCATGGCACCAGGGTGTGCTTTCCTCTTGATCATTCTCTCTTAGCCCCCTTTTCTCTCGCCCCTGAGCTCCCCACAGTGGTGACACACAGGATCATGTGGAAAGTGTGGGCCCCAGGAGGCTGGTAGCTGTGGCCTCTCCAGGGGAGAACTCAGGTCAGTGGGTTGCCATGGCAACACCTCAGGCCCTGCCCCAGGGGCCTCTGGGTTCCAGGAAGGGGCCCCTGCCCTGTCTCCAAGGGGCGGTCCCACCCTTCCCCTACTTTTTACTCCTTCCCCTGCCCACCAAATGTTGATTCAGTGCTGACTGTTTTGCCAGGCTCTGAGGATTTAGTGATGAACACGGCAGGCAAGGTCCCTTGCTCTCAGGGAGCTTATATTCTGTGGTGGAGACAGACAAAAACAAATAAGTGAGATAACTTCAGAGAGCAAAGACTGTCATAAGAAAATGAAGCCATGGAATGGGAGAGAGAGAGATAGGGGCGGGGTGGTGTTTCAGGTAATAGGGACCCTGAAGGCCTCTCAGAGGACGTGATGTTAGAGCAAATACAAAGTAAGATTTGAGAAGGGAGTAGGGAAGAGCCAGGAGCCAGCGTGGAGGAGGAGGAAGCGAGAGAGCATTAGGAAATGAGGGCAGGAAGTTAGCAAGGGCCCCAAGTTTGTAGGGACTTGCTGGCCATAGTAAGAACTTCATATTTATTCCAAGTGCGCTAAGAAGCTACTGGGGGACTTTAAATGGGGGATGAGAACTCCGCTGGCTCAGAAAGGAGTAGCCTCCTAGGGCATTTATATTCATTCATCCCACTATTTGTTTATCAACTGTTTTTGAGTACCATGTGCCAGGCACTGGGCTTACACATAGGGATATAACAGCGAGCGACACAGTCACAGTTTTTGTCTTCATGGAAGGTTAGAGTTTAGTGTGGGAGTCAGCTATTAAATAATCACACAAATAGAGATGTAATTACCAAGAGAGCCATGGGAGAGGAAAAAAAAGAGAGGTCTGACCTAACCTATGATCGTCAGGGAAGCTTCTCAGAGGAAGTAGCATTAAACTAAGGATGAGGATGAGAAGGCAGCATGTTACTAACCCAGGTAAAGAGGGAGAAAGGAGCGTTCCCAGCAGAGGAATAGCGTGTGCAAAGGCCCTGAAGCTGGCAGAAGAATGATGCATGCGGGAGACTGACAAGCATCCTGAGTGTGAACGCACACATTCATTCAGGTGTTAACATGTGTTTACCGAGACTTTCCTGTTTAACTAGCACTCTGTAGGATGCTATGGGCATGCATACAGCAAATCTCTGCCTCTGTACTCAGAGGGCTGGGTTAAGGAGTTTAGAGTTTATTCAATAGGTGGTTGGAAACATCTAAAAGTCTTCAAGAAGCATATGGCATAAGCAAAATAGTTCTGTGGGCAGCTCCATCTGGTGCTGCTAAACACAACCTTAGAAAGGAGAGAATGGGAAGCAGAAGCCCATATCACTTATCATCCAAACCTGGACAGTTTTGAGATTGAAAGTTGACATTATTAATCATTTTTCCAGGACCGCATGCATAAAACACGATTGTCTCAGGCACACTGGGACTTCATGGTTCCCCTCAGTCTTAGAGGCATGAACTAGAACAGCTGCAGTGAGATAAGGAAAGAACTTTGCCTTCTTTCTAGCTACCTGTATTCACTCCTCTAGCTAATCCATGGGATCAGTGTCCCCATGTCCCCATCTCTTCCTCATCTGCTGGGGTCTCAATCACAGGTGAGTCTGAGGTCATATCAGTGACATCTCCTAGAATGTGGCCTCCCACTGCAAGTACCATCATCTTCACCAACAGCATCGTCATCATAGCTCGACTCTGGAGCGGCGGCTTTGCGCTCCAATGATAGATATTGGCATGGATTATGTCAGCAATGTCAGAAGTAATGCTGTGATCTCATTTATGTGGCGGGTATGTAAAGGAGTGTGAATGGCTTGGTGCACAGTTATCCCCGCACCCCAGGCCTCAGGACATGCCCTCTGGGTCATCTCTGTCCCTGTAACTGATTGGCGCTCATGTCATACAGGCACCAGGATGCTTAAGTGTTACTACCGAACAATGAAACATCAGCTCTTGCAGTATCTGCTTCAAACCCCATGGCCAGGACTTCTCCCTCTGCAAAGATCGGGACAAGGCTTTGCTTCATCCTTCAACTTAGGAATTGACCTTCAGTGATGTGACTCCCAGGCCATAACCACTCACCCTCCCTGTGGTACTTGCTAAAAAGCGTCCTCATCAGTTTGCCTCTTACTCCTCCTTTTCCTTAAAAATCTGAGCAGTGTTTTCATCTCTTTCCTAATTTTAACATATTCCCTAAAAAAAAACCAAAAAAACCCTCCCCAAACTCTCATTTTGTGTGCCTCAGTTTCCACATCAGGACAATAAGAATATCTGCTTCATAAGGCTATGGTGAGATTCAGATAACGATGATGATGATGGAAATTTTTCGATAAAGGCTAGCGTGCTAACTAAACACAAGGCACTATCATTTCGATCACTATTCTTCTTCCTTAAACAGCCCTGCAGACTCCGTGCTTTCTGATCTGCCCGAAACACTCACTCTTTTTGTTTCTGTCACTCCAGGCTCCTGTCCTCACTCTCCATTCGTACCCAGTGAACCATTCCTGCAGAAAACTAGCAAGTGTTGGTGCATGAACCAACCTAACTCTCCATCGCGATCGCGGGGAGGAAGCCCCTCCCATCGGTTAGGAGTCCAATCAAAGAGATGAGAAAACCTGACTTCTAAGCCTCGCTACCTCACTAGTTCTTTGAACTTGACCAAGTATTTTGACCTTACTGAGCCTCAGTTTCCGTGTCTGTTATAGCTAAAGTAACTGCTATGTTCTGAGCCTAAATTTTGTACCAAACACTATACTAAACTGTTTTCATGCCTCTTCTTGTAATTACTTCACATGGAGGTATTACTATCCCATTTTATAGATGGGGAAAGCAAGGCCCACAAAGAAAGAAAGGCCTGGAGGAGAAAAGATCAGAACTTTGTCCTCTTTTTGGATAACTATATGCACTCCCCTAGCCAATCCGTGTGGCCAGTATCCCCATGTCTCTTCCTCATCAGCTGGAATCTTAATCAAAGCATGATGCAGGCAAGTCCAAGGTGACACCAATGACATCTCCCGGAAGGTTGCTTCCCACTGCAAGAACCATCACCTTTATTGACAGCATCATCATAGCAATGATTTGCCCAAGATCACACAGATGGTAAGCAGCTAAGACAGGATTTGAATCTGACCCTAATCTAACCATTAACTTACACTATAACGCCCATAATTGTATATGCCTTAAAGTCTCACTGAGCACTCAACCGTGCCTAGCATAATACCAAACACATTATAGGTGCCCAATAATGTTAACTGTTCTTTCTTGCTTTAGGAAAACTCAATATATAAATCTTTAAGGTGGGCAAAGAGATCAATTCAAGTGTCACTATTTGCAATATACAAGAATTAGCGAGGAAACCCCAAGGGGCACCAATCTGTTAGTTCACAAATCGCGAACTCCCCAACAATCCTCAGAGGCCAGAGAAAATTAAAGCCACGGTATTCGGTGCCATCTCCTGTTGAAGATAAATTCCATATAAAAGCAGATCTCAGCTCTGAAAATATCTCTGGGAACACCAGACGAATGTACAGAATTGCATAACTAGACTGTAAATATTTCATTTCCCTTGAATTCTGGGGGGAGCATGTCCACGACTTCCTAATGTCCGTGGGCTTTTTCTTTCTCTTATTACAATATTATTAAAACGCATATAAAAATCTGAGAAAGGCTACTGGAGCCAAGGCTACCCAGCATGCACAGCATCTGATATTGATTCTTGGCATCGTCTCTTTCTGGTTTTTTTTTTAACTTCTTCCCCAGACTTCAAATTAGTCTGAACTTTTGAGATAAATCACCAAAACACCATTTTCTTTTCATTTATCAATATAGGACTTATATTTTAAAACGTTAAAAAGAGAAATATATTTGCCCACAGTCACCCCTAACATGTGAACATGTCCTGTGTCTGCGTTGCTCCCCAGTCTCAAGTGCATGTGCACATATGTGAACTGTAACCCCAGTGAACATACAATTTTGATTCCTTCTCTTCTTCACATTTCATCACGCAGATTTTCCTTTTTTGCTATAGTCTTCATATTTATCATTATTTAATAGAGGCCCAGCGCTCCACTGAGCTGATATTCCTATTTTTATAATGTTTCAATGAACAACTTGGTGCACATCATTTTTTCTCCCTCCTGAAGCATTGCCTTAGAATATCTGGAAAGAAAGTCAGCATGCGGGCCTAGTAACTAGCTACATATGAATGGCCCGAATTCCAGCCTTAGTACTTACCAGCCGCATGATTTTAGGTAAAGTCCCTAAACCTCAGTGTCCCCTCATGTTTAAGCTGCCTGCCTCATCTTGGTGGTGTGCGATTCAGTGAACAACGCGTGGAAAGCGCTTAGCATAGCGCCTGGCACACAGCAATGAAACCACTGTGATTCCCAGGTACCTGTTTAGGACAGAGACCTTTTCTGTTTGCTTGTTTTAATGACAGCGCAGCAGTAAAGAACAGGGACTGTGGCACTCAACTGCCAGGTTCAAGTCTGACTTCCTCACTATATGACCTTTGGTGAGTGACTCAACTTCCTTGAGCCTCATGTTTTTTTATGAGCAAAATGGGGGTAGTAGTGACAGCTCCTCATGGAATTAAGTAAATAAGGCACAGACAGTGCTTACATGATAAGCACTATAATTCTTAGCTATTATAATTTTTACATCACGCCTACCCCCAAGGCATTCCACTTTAGTTCCGTCCTGTTATCACTCTTTCTTTTTGATTCTTGGATTTCTTGGAGCAATGAAAAGAACATGGCCCTAGAAGCCAGGAGGACACTAATTCCAATCCTCTCCTTATGAGTGACAAAGTCAGCTCTGCACCTCTAGCAAATTACTTACCCTCCTGGGCCTCAATTTCCTTCCTATAAAATATTTTTTTAAAT